AGATACGACGACTATAAGGCCAGCTGAATACACATATTCATGATATACTCAAAGGCTGTTAATATGTTGGCTTAACTCAACCTGGTGACCAAAAACTATACTATATTCCATCAAGTTTGTGCCTACGTCGATTAAATTCAGCAACTGCAAATCAGCAAATGAAGAGAGTCGTCGAGACGATTGCTTCCGCTTCGGTATTCCGTCACTGCTTAACGGGTCTCTCACTCCTAACGAATGAATCTTCCTTTCGATGCTTTAGTGACATATTGTATTTATGCACTGCATTATCTGTAGTAGTCAGTAATGCTAGTATTCAAACACTGTACAGTTTCGATATTCAGATCAGTTCATGAATTTAGCTACTTATTCAGTATGATCTAGAACAGTGGTTCTTATGCTCTTACACTCCATACTCATATGTTGTCCTAAGGCAAGTAGACCATGATTAATTGCCTTTCACTGCGACAATCAACATTACCGCAATTCTCATCATCAATGCATGACTTGCTGACAGCAAATCAAATGAGAACATCGAGTTGGCTGCATTGATGAAGAGGTTTGAAGTTTATTCAAGAAGTTTATTACCAAGACGTTTGCAGCATCAATCGAATGAATCGATTTCTCGTCACTGAACGCGAACGCTTTCAAGACATTTTTTCGACAACTGCTGATGAACCATTCGAATGGAGTGATCAACAAAGATTCGCCAACCTCCTCGAGCCCTTTTTAGCATCCTGAAATTCCCGCCCCCTCTTCCTTAGCTCATCGAGACGAGTTTACATTCACATCCGCCTGATAATCGCTGATCCATTTTCACATTCTCTATCGCCTATGCACATATTTACTTCTTCTATTCATCATATTATCGCGGCACCATGCTTTGCATCTATCTAACTGCGTCATCATTCAATTTGGTTAAGCTCCATTATGAATAAGAGGAGATTGCTCCTCGCATGATAAATGCATGACTACTGAGCAGTGGATCATTCCACGAATGAACGAAATGTCCAACCGAATGGTTGTTTATTGTCTTCGCAAAGAACGCATTAAGTAAATGTGTTATGCGTTTTTTACACTGAATTTTCTTGATGCTATCGGCTTAGTTCACGTCTATATATATTATATGTTGTTCAGTTGAAAAATGAATTGTGTGCAGACGAACGAAAGTGTGTTACTCATAGCTTATGTTATTCAGAAGCGCTCAAGATAACTAACTCTAAATGGCCACTTCAAATCGTGTGCTGACTGCAGAATATTTCTTATTACTGGTTCAGTCAAGAACACAAGCAATAAATCAACAACAACAATCGCTCAACAATTGCTCGATTCAGGAACGTCACTGATTTTACTTTGAATAGTTGCTTCGAGGCACGAAGTGCTTCTATCGCGATATTCATAAAATTCAGGAGAAATTCGGTATGGGATGTAATTGTATGATAGCATTGTTGATTTGAAACATTCGTAAAATGTCGCTGCTTCATATCGAGAGGAATGTTTTGAAGTTGATGCCGTTGGGAGTGGTCAATTGAAGATGCACGAGAATGACAATGTTGCATATTCAATGCTGCACTGACAGCTGATGATGAATCGACGTTTTGAGTGATCATTTCAGAGTTTCGTTGATAGAAACCATAGCATATGGGAAACTTGGCTTCGTTTCATTTTGCTGAATCCTTACGGTTGTTCTTTCAATCAACTTCAAATCTAAACGCCTAGATGCCGGTGGTTATGAAATAATATAGAGACGAACAATGCCTCGCAATAGTGAGCGCGTATCGACTACAATTTGCCATTCAACGTCGGAAATTTAACGTCGCATCTCTGATTCTGCACTGTTCAGCTAATGAATACGTTTGTTCGTAATGATGTGCTGCTATGAGATGATGCTACACCCTTCGTTGTCCACGAATTCAACAATTTTACTGCGTGTTTGAATTACGCGAATCGTCAGATAATTGTTTTCATAAGGCTCAAGAATTCGTTCACTTTACTCAATAATTTTACTCAATATTTTACCCAATTCACTCAATACTTCCTTTTGCTTCATTTAACATCAATTGAAGCCCCTCTCTAGTTCTCAATCAGCTTTTTTTGTTTGCAAAATCAATAAGTTCGTGAAATTATTTCAGTATCTATGGAATTTCCACTCTCATAAAATATTTTAAAACTGCAATGACAGATATTTTAGTGGAACGCTTTGGAACCTGTACAGTTGCTTTTTGCTGATGTTTTTCGTCAGTTTTGTACTTCGCAAGAAGCCGTCATAACCTGTTATGCTCAATTATTAGAAATTCATCAGCTTCATTGTTGGTTTCGATTTTCTTTCCAAATAA